GGCTGGACTGAGTTCCTGCCTCAGACCTTCTCTGTGACCTTGGGCAACCTGGATTTTCCCATCCACAAAACAAGAGGATAGCTTCTGCCTCCCCTTAGCATTATAAAGCAGAATCAATTGGAAACCTTGAGACTTTACATTTGCAGTTGATAAGCGGAAAATGAAAGTGCCTAAATGAGAATGGAATTAATAAATAAATGCATTAGTTGACTAAAACACAAGCATGCAAAAATCCTTCCTCTGTCTGCAGGCAGCAGTCCCACGCAGTTATTTTGCTACTTGTTGCTACTGCAGATTTGCTGACCACTACCTGCAAATGGCTCGTGGCTGCTTATGGCAAAGACCTTTTTGTATCCCTGGGACAAAAGGCTGCATTTCAGCAGCTTAAGGATAGTGCAGAAGTTGATTGTTAGGTTGGATATTAGGAAAAAATTAATCTCAGGAAGAGCAGTGATACAGTGGCACAGGCTGCCCAGGGAGCTGGTGGTGTCACTGTCCATGAGATGTTCAGGAAACAGAGATGTGGCACTGAGAGCTGTGATCAGTGGGCACAGTAGGGATGGGCCAGGGTTGGACTGGATGATCTTAGAGGTCTTTTCCTACCTTCATGATACTATGATTCTGCTGCAGCCCCACTCACAGAGGTCTGAGAAAGCTCCATCTACCTGGTAGTGATGTAGCTTTGAGCTCGGTCTCTCTGGCTGGTGACTCCTGTTCCCTGGTACAGGGACATCTGTCAGTAGGGTGCCAATATGGATGTGGTTGGAAGTTAGGGAAACTAGCCAAGTGGAAAGCTCTTTCATAGACAACACTGCAGAGATGTCTCTACTGGGGCAGTCACTTAACAAAATACACTAATGTGCACCCTCATTACTCATGTACTCATTTTTACTGACATCTGCAGGATGTGTTGCCAGAAACCCAAGCTTTTATACTCTCTTTTTCAGATAGGTCACTGGAACAGTGCAGATGTGATTTACCTGGTATAACCAAAAAGGTGCGCAGAAAAACCTTAGCAAGAGTAACTAATCTCCTTCAAAGTCACTGTCTGGAGCTCTAAGTAAGCCTGATAGCTTGTATAAGATGTCTTTGCTCCTGTTCACTAGAAAGATTGCTCCTGTGTTCACGTTCTCTGGGTTACTTCTAGGTTGACAGTCTTCTGCTAGAGAGAGGGAAGAAAGAAGGTAGTCAGGTAACTATGCAGTCATATATTTTTTGACTGTAAGCTGGAAGAGTTTGCGTGTTCCTCTGGGCTGGATTAGGCAGAATGTTGCACCAGATCTGTTTTCTCACAGTGTTCAGGTCTTCTGGGTTTGATGGTTAAGTCCCGCAATTCTCAAGCACTTTAATTCTACAACATGTTCCATGCAGTTTCCATTTCCAAATCTCACCTTGGTGTGTGTGCTCTGTTCAGCAGTACTTTTGTAAGTCTTCCTGTCCATATGCAGGTAGTAAGTGATTCCTGGGTGCCAAATACAACTTAGAGAGTTTGAGGGATGCACTGCTAGTCCCTACCACCTGGAACACTTTTTGTCTCAAGATTTAAAATCTCACAGTTTCTCTGTCCTCAAAAACAATGGATCCTTGAAAGTTTTACTTACAACTAGAGGGTCTATTTTGAGTCATTTAAGATTATTCAGTTTACCATGGAAATTGGAGCTGGTAAAATTGCAGGCGATGCCACAAAAATGTGCACATGCATGTTTTCTGTATTAGCAGCACAAAGCTGCTCATAAAATTTCTGGTCTGTTTTAAACAGTACAGCTACAGAACCTTACAAATCCAGGTTGCTGGCTTCATCTGGGTATGGAGAGAAGGCGGCAAAGATAAATAAATCAGAAGCCTGACAAAACTAGAAATATTTGCAGGAATTCAAACCTATTTCTGACAGTAAGTGGCAATTGGCATGCTTCTGATGGACAGAAAGATGTATGTGCTGCTTCGTATAAATGCAAGAGAACATGTCAGGAGACATGCTTCCTAAAGAAGGAAATCTTGAAGATTTGTTTGCTGGAGCTGTGCTGCCCTCAAGTGGCTTTTTATTTTTAACTTTTTTTTTATTTTTAACTTTTTTTTCCTATTTTCAATGGCAGAGGAGGTGGTTTATTTTCAAGACAGAATCTGATCGGGAATTCCTTTCTCTCCTTCAGTTTTGAGACCAAGGCCAGATGTCGACAGATCCTTTTGCTCCTCCTAAGACTTTGGTATATTTAGAACAGAGACGGACCTCACTGAAGACTGAACTTTGTGTTGGTTCCGTTCAAGCTGATCACAGAATTCTTCAGACAAAAGGTATGCAAGTCCAGGGACCATGCCAGTGATGGGAAATAATGGTCCACGGCTGCATACTTTCCTCCTGCTCCCTTTCAGGCAGAGATCCATTCCTGCCAGCCCACCCAGCTCCTCCAGTGGCCAGGAGAGAGCAGGCTAGAGCAGGGGATCTGCTGGAAGCTGCCTGCCAGGAATGTCTCTAATGCCCCAGGAGTCCATCTTGGGACCTATGCATTTCAACACCTTCATCAGTGACACAGACAGTGGGACTGAACATACCCTCAGCATGTCTCCTGATGACGCTAAGCTGAGTGTGCAGCTGACACAGCAGAAGGCAGGGATGCCATCCAGAGGAACCTAGACAGGCTTGAGGAGTGGACCCACGGGAACCTAATGAGATTCAGCGAGGCCAAGTGAAGGTATTGCACTTGGGTCAGGGCAATCCCAGGTATGTGTTGTACTGCAAAAGCACCAGTATTTCTGTGTAAGGTTTACCAATCTCAAAGAAAGTACACAGAGGAAGTTAACATTTATAAGTTTAATAGAGAGGTACTCACATAGCCGGAGACAACCAGCTGGTAGAGTCTCTGCCCTGGGGTTTCCTCCAGCAGATACCAGTGGTGGCCAGCCAGCAAGACCTCCACACAAACCCTTAGCCTTGTGGCCATATATGTAACAGCAGGAGACAATAAAGCATTGTGTATCAAGATAAGCAAGGTCATTCACAGAATGCAAAGATACAGTGACAGAGCAGTTTCTCACAAGCAGGTTTCTTCTAGTTACATGCAGAAGCTAGAGGCAGTTGTGTTCCTGAGGGAGCATGAGCACTTTCTCATGAGCTAGTCACCTGCTCAGTTGTGATCTGTATTTCTTCCAACATAGACTGGGAGAAGAATGCACTGAGAACAGCCCTGCAGAGGAGGGCTTAGGGGTCCTGCAGCGCGAAAAGCTGGACATGATCCAGCAATGTGTGCTTGCAGCTGCATCAACAGAGAGGTGGCAGCAGGGTGAGGAAGGTGATTGTCCCCCTCTACCCTCATGATGCCCCACCTGCAGTGCTGCATCCAGGTCTGGGGACCAGCATGAGAAAGATCTGAAGCTGCAGAAGCAGGTCCAGAGGACAGCCATGAAGAGCTTCAGACTTCTGGATCACCTTTCCTATGAAGAAAGGTTGAGGGAGCTGGACTTGTTTAGCCTGGAGAAGAAAAGACTCCAGGGAAACCTCACTGCAGCCTTGCAGTACTTGAGGGGAGCTTGTAAGCAGGAGAGGGACTGATAGTGGTATGACAAGGGAGAATGGCCTTAAACTGAAAGAGTTTAAGCATCTAGGTTAGATGCTAGGAAGAAATTCTTACTCAGAAGGTGATGAGGCGCTGGCACAGGCTGCCCAGAGAGACTGGATGCAAGACCAGGGACCATGCCAGAGGTGGGAAATAATAGTCCAAGGCTGCATACCTTCCTCCTGCTCCCTTTCAGGCAGAGATCCCCTCCTGCCAGCCAGAGAGACTGTGAATGTGGAGGTCCTCAAGGCCAGTTGGATGGTGCCCCAGGCAGCCTGATCCAGTGGGTGGCAGCCAGCCCATAGCGGGGGGTTGGAACTGAATGCACTTTAGGGTCCCTTCCAGCCTAAGCAGTTCTATGATTCAGTGATGATGAAATATCTCAATTCCTCTCCAGTGTAAAGGGAGTAGAGCTCTCCTCAAGAGGGCGCAGCCGAGAGCTCGAGCTTACCAGTTCATGGAGGTATACAGGGGCCTCTGCCTTTCTGCTAAATTCCAGACAAGGAGAACCTGAGTCACTTATGGTACATTTTGGACAGGGTCCAATTGAAATGGATCAGAAAGACCATTTGTTGCATTTCTTGCCCTTCTTGGTGGCCTTGTTGCAGTGGCATGACACCTGAATGTCAGCACTTCTATCTGAGTCTTCCGGATCCTTGGGCAATAGGACCAGGGCAAGGAGGACCACTGGCTGTCTGGGCTGCATGAAGAGGAGTGTTGCTGGTGGGTTGGGGTTGGGGAAGGTAATTCTACTCCTCTGCTCAGCACTGCTGATGCATAACTGGAGTGCTGCAACCAGTGCCGAGCACCCTAGAACGTGTGAGATGTGGTCGTGAAGATGATGAAGGGTCTGGAGCATCTCTGTTATGAAGAAAGGCTGAGAGCTGGAACTCTTGAGCTTGGAGGAGGGTCATGCATGGGGAGTTTATCAGTGCGTACAAGTACTTGATGGGGAGGAATGATGACAGTCATTTCCAGTGGTACCCAATAACAGGACAAACTGTATGGGGGTGGAGAACTTTGGGGTCTGTGTATGGCTTCAGCCATGGGGGTTTTGGAGGGCCCTAGCACTGCCTCAACCCCACAAAGGCCCCAGGTAGGGTCAGAGGTATCTGGTGGAGCATCTGTGAAGCATGTTGGGGCTTATGGGGCGGCCATGGGGGAAACTGGGTCCTCTGTTTCAAGGCTCTTGGGAAGTTAGGAAACACTATGGGGACTGTGGGTACTCAGGAACACAGTGTGATATCCGCAGGGTCGGGATAACTGGGGAAGGTGTTGAACACGGGGATTAAGGCAACTCTGGAGGAGCTATTGGGAACTGAGGGGAATTGTGAAGTGCTCGCCTGGGCAAAAAAACAAGGTGGGAAGTCTATAGGGTATAGTACAGGTCAGAGGCACCCAAGGGACTAAGGGGTACCTCGGAGGTTGGGAGAAGGTAAGGGTTTACAGGGGAACCTGGGTTGGAAGGTAAGGGTTTATAGGGGAACCTGGGTTGGCCATGACCACCGTGAATGGGGTCGGAGGCACCCTAGGGGGCTCAAGGACACCCAGAGGGGAGCAGGATCCCATGGTCCCCCCAGAAGCTGATGCCAGAGCCCAGGCCTGTGGCACCTCTTTTATTGCAGGTCCTAATGCAGCCCCTGCCCAAAGGGAGGGAATCCATCTCTCCACGCATTGCCCCCCATTTCAAGACTCATTAACAGACTCAGAGGTGCCAGCAAGGTGCACAGGCAGCCCGTCAAGGCAGGAGATACGCACATGGTGATGGAGCTGCCGGGCCCGGTAATTGCAAGGGGGCCGGGTGTCTCCACCCCGCAGGCGGCAGGCTGTGATGTCCATGGGAGCTGAGGTGCTGTGGAACCCCATTGAGTCAGCTGGGCGGGTGCAGGTGGCCACCAGGTCCTCAGCTGGTGCATGTACAAAGGTGTTGGATGGCTTGCAAGGCCTCCCCGGGGCTGTCACTTGCCGTCGTGCCAGCATGACCCCGCAGTAGCGGTGTCCCATAAGCCCGAGCGTCCGGGGTTGGTCCACATGCTGCCGCAAGAACTTCTCATAGCGGGTCTCTCCCACAGCTCCTGCCACTGCTGTCAGTATGACGGCTACGCATAGCACCCAGCTTGCCATGGGTACCTGTGGAAAGTGGGGTCAGAGCCTGGACTGCTGGAGACCTGTCTGGAAACCCCATCTTAAGCACTTGAGTCCCCTGTAGAGTGCCCATCCCAGATATGGAGGTCCATTACAGATCTCCTCCGAATGCACGGAGAAGTGCCCTCTCAGACACGTGGGTCCACTGCAGAAGTCCCCTGAACACCTAGGTCATCTGTGGATTCCACCCAGATGCCCAGATTCCCTATAGAACATCCCAAGGATAATAGGTCTCCTACAGTTCTGCATCCCACAGGCACCTGCATCTCCTACCACATCTCCTCTGGACATCTGGATCCCCTATAGCTCCCCCACACCCTCAGACACCTGGATCTCTTCCATACCACTATTTTCCCACTAGATGCTCAGGTTCCTTACAGTTTCCTCCTGCAAATATTTTAGTCCCCTGCATATCCCTCACCTGAACTTCTGTGTGCTCCCGTTTCTCTTCTGGCCTCAGGGTCTCCTGATCCCTCCCACTCCTGTGCACTGCTCTTATACTTGTCCCAACTGAGCCCAAAAGACAAAGGTCCAGGAGGAGGGGCAGGGCAAAGAGCAAGGTCCAGTGCGTGTGGGGGGAACCTAGCATTCAGGAGGCCCCACTCCCCTCATACCACCCCCCTCTGCCAAGGTCATTAGATAATCATTAATTAAGCACGTGACTGTCTGCACACATCCCCTCAGGTGCCCCCTGCCCATCTCGCCATGGACTACAATAAGGCTCTGGCCTGGTGATGCTTGGACCCTATGCACAGGATGCCGAGCACAGTGAACAGCACAGAGCTTATGGCCTGGGGCTGCACACAGGTGCCCCCTCCTCAAGCATTCAGCTCCCACAGGCACTCCTCAGGCACTCCTGCCCTTACCAGCCCAATGAATGTCATAATGAGGCCCTTGGGACACAGAAAAGGGCACTCGGAAGACCTTGAGTCACAGAAAGATGCGGTGAAGTTCTTGGGTTGAACAGAAAGGGCTTTGCAGGACTTTGGAGCACCAAAATGAACATGGCAGTCCTGAACTGAGCAGAAAAGGACTTCAGAAATGCTAGGAGTGCACAGAAAGCCCAGGGAGGAGTCTGGACAAAGCAACAAAAGAGATCACAAGTCATTGGTGTGCACAGGAAAACATTCTGAGAATCCTGAGGCCAAAGAGAAAGGCACTTGGAGGTCCCCGAATACATTCAGAGCTGTGTTGGGCAAGCAAAATGAACTTGGAGGAACTTGTGTTGAACTGCAAGGCATTCGAGAGACAACTGCTTAGCACAGAAAGGCAACTGGAGGACTCTTCGGTGCACCAAACTTCATGATAAACCCCTGTGATATGGAGAATGTCATTTTCAAGGCCCAGGCTCATCAAACACTTACTGTGAGTTCCCCAGATGGAGACAAACCTGTGGGTTTCACCTGCCAACAGAGCCAGTGCTCAGAGAGAGCCTCTGGGAGGTGGTGAGTGAGGGCTCCCCTCTTCTGATTCCATCTCTTGTTCTTTTTCCTTTTTTCTGCCTCTCCCATGTGCCAGGCACACCAGGTCTGGATGAATGCAATGCAGTAATCCCTATTGCTCAAAGAGGTAATGGGAGACCTCACCTCTGACTGACCACCATGCAAGGTCCCTCCTGCTCCAGGTGATTCACTCCTCAGCCTCCAGGCTTTCCTTAGCAAGGAGTATCAGTCCCCTGGTAGCTGACTAGTTTACTGTACTACTTTCAGCTCAGCTGGGTGCTGCTCCAACAGTCCCTGCTGTTACTGAGAACAAAGGGCTGTAATTGCATCCAGCTGAGGGCACACTCGGTACAAGAAGAACAAAAGGCACTCTTGCACCAAGTTAGCACTTGACATTCCCACCAAACCATCATTTCCACAGGCTGCTGATCTGAGGATATGCCGCACACCAAGGTGAAAAATTTTGGGAAGGGCCTTGTTAGAAACCCCAGGAGCAAACAGTCACAATACGCTGGAATTGCATAGCTGTGGGAGTGGAATGATCTCAGGATGTTGCCAGACAGCCCTCCAGCAGAATTTTCCCAGCTGTGAGCATCAGTTTGGTTACTTTCACTGGATCACTGCCAGAAACTACTAATTTTGGAAAACCCAAACAGCTTTACAGGCTCCTGAAACACAGCTCCTTAAACAGCAGGGCCCTGAAGAAGGCTAGATAAATCATTCTATGGCTGTATGATGATCAAATTGGCTGAGGGAGCCGCATTTGTTCAGTCTGGAGAAGGCTGTGGGGAGACCTCAGTATTGTGGCCTTCCAGTATTTAAAGGGAGATTATAAACAGCAGAGAAATCAACTTTTTACATGGCCAGATCATGATAGGACAAAGGGGAATGGTTTTAAATGAAAGATGGGGAGATTTGCATTAGAAGTCAGGGGGAAGATTTTCACTAAGAGGGCAGTGAGGCACTGCACAGCTGCCCAGAGGCTGTGGGTGCCCCATCCCTGGCAGTGTTCAAGGCCGGGCTGGATGGGGCAGCCTGAGCAGAGGGGGCATGGAGCTGGACGATCTTTGAAATCCCTTCCAACCCCAGCTATTCTGTGTTTGATTTCTGTCCCTCTGCTTACTCCTTTGTGTGCTATCTTAACTACTGGCAGTTAGATGCAGGAAGGAGCTTAAATGAAACACGCTGCCTTTGCTCCGAGCTTTGTGCTCTCTTAATTTCAGCCTCTGGCGGTGCATCGAGCTGCTGCCGTGCGTCCTCACGGTGCCAGGACATCATGCCAAGTATTTAGCCCAGATGAAGTCCCAGGACTTTATATATCACACCCTCCCCAGCCAGATTTATGCTACGGGAAATCCAAACACTTCCATGTTTTGTCTGCTTGACAGAAGAACGGAGCGACTAAAGATGGAAAAAGAAAAAAAAACAAAAACCAAAAAAACAAGCTGCGAGGAAGCCTTATTTATTGTCTGACGGCCGCTTTAAGCTCACATCGCACAGCCAGCTCACCATAACCCGCTCCCAGCGAGGCCGCAGTGCGCAGGCGCCGCGGAGGGGCGGCGGAGGCGCTTCACTGCGCGCGATCCCTCCGCCGGGAGGCCCGAGCAGAGAGTCCCCCAGCCAGCGGTCGCGACGGCGCCGGCTTGCGGCGCTGCGCCCCTCCACCGCGCGGCGGCGCTGTGGTGCGGGCTCCGGCGGCCGCCCCGCCTGCGCGGGAGGCGGGGAGAGGCTGAGGGGAGGCGGCGGCGGCGCCGGCCCTTCTTTCCCTCCCCTGCTCCCCCCGGGAAGCGGCTGGCTGCGGGCTGCCTCTCGCTCCCCCTCCCTCCCCCCCTTTTAATTTTAATTTTATTTTATTTTACCCCCTCCCCCCCCTCCCTCCCCGTCCCTCCGCGCGGCGGCGGCGGCGGCCCGCCTCTCCCTTCGCCTCCCCGTCGCCGCGGCCCCGCCATGGCGACATGAGCCTGCCGCCGGCCGCCGCCGCCGCCGCCGCCCCGGCCATGGGGCCCGCACGGAGCTGAAGCGCCGCGGAGGAGCCCCGCCGCCGCCTCCCCGCCATGGGGTGCTGATGGCCGGGAGCCCCGCCGCCGCAGGGGAGGTGAGCGGGCGTGCGAGGGATGCGCGGCACCTGCGTGCGCGCAGGCTGCGAGCCGCCGTGCTGGGGGGCGAGCCGTTGTCGCCGAGCCGGGTGGCCCTCGGTGCCGGGCAGCGTCTGTCTGGGTTCTTCCGTGCCGTTGCTCGTGGCTGTCGGCAGAGCTGGGCCGTGCCCATCCCGCTCTGCTGTCCCGTCGGCGGTGGTAGAAGTTTTCTTGAAGGAGGAGCTGTGTTTGCTATCGACAAAGGTCTGAGATTGCTGCCCCTGGTAGAAAGTAAGCTTGCAAAAAAATCCTCCTGCAGACTTGTCCTTAGTGCAGTAATAAAGCTGTTCCTTTGCCTTCCCGTTCCTACCCTGCAGAGGAGGAAAAGGGAACAACCCTAAGCCTTAGAAAGGAGGCTGTTTAAATCCTCGGCTTACAACAGCGCTCCTGAGTATCGGGCTCTATGAGCATCCTTCTCATAGTGTGTGGCAGCAGCCTGGTGCGTGGCACAGCCCCTCGTATCAGACAGAAGTGTGTCTTCTTATAACTCAGTATTTAAATTGGGCAAAGCATACGTGGTGTGTGATTGCACAGCTGCTGTTTGAAGCATGCCTCACCTTTCCCTTGCAGGGGTGACATCTGTGACTGTGGCCCTTTCTCCCCTTGGGCCCAGATTCTGGAGGTGAGGCAGGGCCAGAGCTTGTCTCTCTAAAAACAAATCACTGTGTGTAAAAGTAAATTTCTGTGTCTCGAGGGTTTGCTTTTGGATCCCTGCTAGTGATTCAGGTTTGCTTTTGAAGGAGTTTGGCTGCCTTGTGATGCTGTGGGGCAACTTGCTCTCATCTCATGTCTTGTGTTTGTGCAGACCTTGGCGTAGGATGCAGGAAGCTGATCTTTCTGGCTCTTCCCTAGCAGGAGCTGAACTTTAACATTATTTATCTGCACTTCACCTCTACTTGGACCTTGTTATGTAGTTTGATAAATGGTGGAACTGATCTTAGATGCTGCACTTAATACATCCATATTCTTACCTACTGCTTTGTATTTTACTTGCCAAGTCTTGTGCTTTGTTTGTTCTGGGGTCCTTTTTTAAAACTACCCTGGGTCTGCTGCTCTTCTAATATTGTTGCATGGTTGACAGAGCATGTATTGCTCTATCTCTGAGCAAAAGGTGCTGCTGGGGCTGGTTGGAGGTGTCATGGGCTGCTGCCAGCATCCAGTGGGTGCTTCCAGAGCTCTGCTGCTATTCTTGCTCTGTGGAGGTGTTGGAATGGCTTTGTATGGGGAATCAAGCAAGTCAGGAGTTGGGACCTGGTGGTTTTGAGGGCAGCACAGCATCCAGAACCATGGGCTTAACATCTTATATTAGCACTGGCATGCAGTCAATATTTACATTCAAAAATGTATTATTTTCCTATTTTCAGAATACTTGTTACTATAATCTTTACAGACTTTGTGGTTGAAATACACTTCGGTCTGAATGTGAGGCCATTCAGTGTCACTCTTTGCTTGTTTCCCTGGGATAAACTTCCCAAGTCTGCAGCTG